GAGATCGACCGGCGAATTGGAGTAGCCAGTGGCGTTCTGCGTGAATTAGCCCGACCCATTGTGACTAAAGAAGAGCTCAATCTGAAAACTAAGCTCTCGGTATTTAAGTCGATCTTTATCCCCATACTTACCTACGGTCATGAATCGTGGACCATCACTGAAAAACTTGGAACCCGGGTACAAGCTGCTAAAATGGGCTTTCTTAGACGAGTCGCTGGCCTTACGCTTCTCTACATGATCCGGAATAGTGACATCCGGAAGAGCCTTGGAATACAGCCTTTGCTTCTCCAGATTGAGAAATCGCAGCTGCAATGGCTTGGGCATGTGTTGCGAATGCCTCCAGAAACGAAGGTTAAGCAATTGTTCCTTGCAAATCCGACCGGCAGAGAGCCCAGGGACGGCCAAGATTAACCTGGTGCAAATATATGGAAGGAGTTTTTTCCAGACTCCATTTGTCTTTTGCCGAAGCTCAGACTCTGGTACAGGATCGGGAACGTTGGAAGCTCTGTCTGACGTGTCTGTCTCCGCGACCCGAAAGGAGCAGCGGTGATGGAAGGTGAATATGAAGAGTTTTAAGGAAGTAATGATAAGTCGAGATTGAAACAAACAGTTTGATTTATTTAAACTTCACAGTTGAGGACCATGGCAAATGACAGTGAACTAAATATACTGGAAACTTTACATATATAAATAGTATAAACACACAGATTTGCTCACTGTTTTGACTCCAATTTTTTCATTTTTTCTCTTGCATGAATGATGTCATTCTTATTTAGTGTTTGATATCCGTTCAGCTTTTCTCACGTTCTTCATTCCCACCACCCATGAGTTGCTACTCTAGTTTCAAAGTACAGACGGCACGTTTGACTGATTTCTTGAAGAATCCGTGCAGAGCAACATTAAATTATTCAAGCGAATCTTTTAACTACAAAGTTGTTCTTATACGCATAATTGCTCCAAATGCCCCAATATTCCAAAGACAGCTGAAAGTCACTTTCGTAATAATGATTGATACTAGCAATTATCACAGTTCATCGGTTGATCAAAGGATTTAAAAATTATCCTGAACGATTGTTTGATTTTAAGAATGCGTTACAATACATAAAGAAGGCTCAATAATAATGTATTGTCATATTGTGGTCTGCCGTGTTTCGGATCTTACGCAAGAAAGTCACGCGTAGGAGAAAATGGTTTTTCGAAAATAATTTGTTTAACTGTGCCGACCTCCGTTCTTAACTTACGTCCTCTTTTGTCGTGAAGAGAAGATGGTTTTTCTCAGCGCAATCCGCTCTAACACGTTCAGTGTGCGTCGAAACTAACTTTGTTGCATATAGTTCAACCGTTGATCTTGATCTTTCGTAACGACAATTGTCTCCAGGTCGTATAATAAAATTGAGATGACAAAAGCAAGGCACTGATATTCTTTTGGAAAGTGTTATTCATTTCTCGGCCAAAAATAGAGAACAAGCTACCAAGGGCTTTGAATAAAGTACGATTCTCCCAACATCCGCTGCATGGTGTCATTGCTAAACATAATAAAGGTTAGATACTTACATTAGTAGACTTTCTGTTGTTTTCTCTTTTAAATTATTTGATCAGCAATGTTGGATAGCTTTTTCATTATTTTGGATTTCCATACGTAGGTAAATTGCATACGTAAGCCGCCAGTTGATGAAGCTTTCTCCCCATACTAGTCAGGTGGACAGTATCATCTGCATATTTCAGATCAGTAGGATATTTCACAAGGATGTCTTCAGTTGCGCGTTCATTGTAGAATGCGACACCGTCTTTGCCAGTTTCAGCATCGTTTCCGAGAAGAACGGTCAAAAAAATGTTGAATAGGATAGCAAATACTCCCTTATGCATGCACTTTGTGATTTACCTTTGATAAACGTAATAAATGATTGAATCGTTGCAACATGTAACTTATAACCAAAAAAAATAAAACTGCATTACAACGCTGAATTGTGGTAGAAGAGTTATCCAAGTCAAGTACAAGAAAAATCATTAGTAAATTGGGGCATACCGTAACAGTGCTTATGATTAACAAGTACAGTAGTTGAGCTAATGTAGGGTGTGCGGTTCCAATTTCTGGAAAATGCAGGATCGCTTGCTTTATTATTCCGAGTTGTACCTCTACTCTGTTTCACATACCTTTTTAATTGCATTAAGAAAGTCGATGTATTTTTCTTTTCATACGTTTATCAATGGTGAAATTTTCAGAACCAGGAAAGCTGAAGCGTATTATTTAAAATCCTCATGGATTGTCTCTGTAAAGCCGTTTTTCATGGATAATATGCTGGAACTCTCTGTTGCCCGTTTTCGGCTTCACTGCCATATTGTCCCATTACTCATTTTGAGCTGATTTTACCTTGAATGAGATTGCTGGTTTGGAGTACAAACATTAAAATTCCTAAAAGCGTTATCCTTTTTCTTGCAGATTGTTTAATGTATATCTTTGTTATAGCAAAGTGGTATTCTGATATAATTTTATGTGGCTTAACCGTTAGACAAATGAATTGGCGTAAACTTACAGTACGGCGTGATAGAAAATTTGTCTAAAAACCAAATGATGATTCTCTATCTGCCTACTCGAACTCGAGTTTTGAACCCCGCTTCCCTTCTCTGAACGTGAAACTTTGAATGCTCTGGCAGCATTGTCATTCTTGTTGTACCAAGCAATAGAGTCAGTGTATGCTTATGCGCCTTAGCTGATCTTTACCCGTATGACCGGTAAAATTTTGTATGCCTATCGAATACGGATTTTTTTATAGATGACGTTCGTAGTTATTTATGGTACAAGTTAATAGTCTATGCTACTGCTTTACATAAAAGATAGCTGGATAGATTATGTTCATTGACTACTGTTATTCATTTACTGAGTTTTCTTGCTTTCTGACCATCGTGTTGATTTATTGTCAACGGAAATATGAAAAGTCTATTCATTAGACAATTGCTCGGACAAAGAGAGTCGAAAAACTATTTAAAAACTGAATCAAGAGATTTTTCAAAAAATATTTGTCCATCTATATCTGCTGGAACGATCTTCGTTTGTATGATTTTTCATGACTTTAAACTGTGATTTTTATCGATCTCTCCGTGATGATATAATTTATACAATATACCGCCATTATCTGAAAGTATTTGTCAGTCAGCTTCGATGACCGCTTATCCTTTCGGGTGGCGCAGGGATGCGCTTGAGATCTCGTCTTCAATGGGATTCAGTGTTTGAGCTTGGCTAGAAGGTAACCGAGAATGGAGTAGAATTTGTGGAGAGATTTGCCCCAGGTCATTCTTGGTCTTCCCCCATGTCTTCCATCGGTCGGTTGGGTTGGTCAAGTAATATCTGTTTCTCCTTCCTTTCTGA